TAACGATAATAAATGCAACAGGTACTGCTATATCTATTGCAGAGTTCAAAAATACAAATAGATTATGACTAAAAAAAACAAAAAAACTGGGGAATTCTCCTCAGATCACCCCCAGGGGTTCAGATTCAAATTTCAGTTATTAAGAATAACAATGTGCTGCCAAAAATTAATGATACGTTCGTAGTATACAGTTGTAAGTTAATATTTTTTACCTGCTTTATGTTTATAGGTCACCAGTTCAATTGCACTTACCCATGCGCACAATGGAATCGTCAGCGACTTTAAGTTACTGTTTTACAAATGTTTATACTTACGTAATGCCGATTGAATTATAGTGCACATAATTATGAATAAATTAAACGGTTGTGAACTCCGGAGAGATATTTGTTCAAGGTTTCGACTTTACCCCTTCATCAGGAACATACATTTTTTGTAATGAACCGCTCTTATTTTGAGTAATAGAGTTTATTACAGACAATTTAAGCGTAAAGTCGAAACGCTGAACATATAAAATATATTGAAAGATTCTCTGAAGTTCCCGGTTGTTTTGTTTATTCACAATTTTAACATTTTACTTAAAGCGTTAGTTAAAACAGAAACAGAAAGACATATACTTATCAAGATTTTGGTGTAATCGTATCCGAAGTTTTATTTATTATTATTTTGATATATATATTATCCGTTATTCTCAGTAGGTGAGACTTCGCAACGATATACTGAAAAGCTTCTTCAAAGTATCTTGATTTTTATAACTCATTCTAACAAGTCTGCCTATCAACATATACTCCTTTTCCCAAAATACTTACGTTATATATTTCCATCTATGCGATGGCTTATCGTCGGTATTTCAGAAGGTTCAAATCTACAGTATGTTTGGGCCGTTGGATGAAGCGAACTTGTCGTTCTTTCGCAAGAGGAGTGCTGCTTATTCTTTTCTGTTGTGGTACTTACACCTGGTTTTTAACTTTTACTTCAAATGTCGCTCAGAAACGGTTTACTGCTGAGTTGAAGGAAAGTGTACGTACTTCTCAACTCGGTCGTCAAGAAACAGCCATAGCAACTACAAATAGATTCCCATATATCAACAGCCACTTTATACCTAGAGATAGTAATAGTTCAGATGCAATTAAGTCCCACCGGCAACGCAGGAACAAGAAGGAGTTGACCAGAAGAACTCACGTGGACCGATGGAAGCGTGCAAACCTAATTACAGCACGCTATCAACTTTTAGTATACAGTGCTTACTGGGACGAACGGAATCTGAAGGCACCATGTGTCAGAGTCATTGGGGCAACGCTTACTAAAGGTGGTCCAAAAGTATTCTGTAAACTTCATTATCCAGAAAAAGAACCTTTCATCGTAACTGCTCATAAGAAAGTTATAAACGAACACTGGAACCTCAAGTACTCAGCGTGTTTCTTCTACTGCACTGTACCTAAAGGCACTTCAAAGCCGTCTAATGTCTCCATATCCGATAACACGTTGTTCAGACCTTCAGCTGTTCTAGTAGTTCACCACAACAAAGAAGACAATACATCAACTCGTGGAAATATCGCTTTATGTGTAAAGCCCTTGCATTATTCGTACGATAGAGTTACTTGGTTTATCGAGTTCATGGAAGTTTATCAGATTCTCGGAGTGGAGTATTTCCTTTTCTACAACCATTCTATGGGCCAGGCTGTAGAGAAAGCTATAAGAACCTATCAACAGCTGGGAATTGTTTCTGTTCTACCATGGAACCTAGACATTCCATCTCAGAAAGAAATAAGAACAGAAGGATTGTTTGCCGCGTTAAATGACTGTCTCTACAGAACAATGTACCTGTTTCAGTATGTTTTTATGGTAGACTTTGACGAATTCGTTATTCCAAGTGAAAATATCGCTTATCACAAGCTTTTTACAAAAATATTAGCGAAAAAATGGGGAACGTTTCAACCGAGTAGTTTTGTGTTTCAGAATTCGTTTTTCTACTTATACTGGGAGAATGATACAACAGCTTACAATGTGGAACCAGAAAAACTTCCGAATAACATCCCTTACCTTTTAACGCAATACAAAACAAGAAGGTTAAAGAATCTGATGAAATATGGAAGGAGGTCAAAATTTGCCGTCGTTCCAGAGAGAGCACTGGAGGTTGGAAACCACCTTGTGTGGAGAGTAGTTCCACGTAAGTTTGTGTATTTCAGTTGTTATGTTGATTCGAGTTTTTTATTTTGTTTTTGCAAACTGTTTTTTTTTTAATGTGGAATTGTAATTTCTTAATCTTCATATAAATATTCAATGAAGGCATTTGGAAATCACAGATTATTGTAACATTTTAATTTTTACCATTACAAGAGAAACTCTACCAGTAGTATCTATTAGTGAGAGTAGTAAGATATTCTCTACCAGTAGTATCTATTAATGAAAGTAGTAAGATATTCTCTACCAGTAGTGGCTCCCCAGTGGCACAGTGGCATGTCTGCGGACTTACAACGCTAGAAACCGGGTTTCGATACTCGTGGAGGGCAGAGCACAGATAGCCCATTGTGCAGCTTTGTGCTTAATTACAAACAAACAAGCAATCTACCAGTAGTATATGAAAGTAGTAAGATGTTGATAGTTAAATTCAAATATAATTATGAGACCAGTTATTGAAAGGGAACTGGACTTTTGCTTTGATTTGAGTAATAAAAAAACATTGTAGTCGTGAGTTTTTCGTCATCAAATTGAAAATTTTATTTATTAAACTTTAGGAATGACCACAAACTTAAAGAATGTACAGATGTAAAACGATGTCATTTTCGCTGAATGTGTTGTTGTTGTTGTTGTCTGTCTGGGCTCTGTCAACCGCAGAAATCGACTTCAGATTACAGTATTGTAGGTTCGTGTAAATTTACCAAGAACTTATTGAATACAGCCTTTATCTTGCATCTGAATTTCATTATCCATGGCAAAAATAACGTTTTATCGAAACTATTTATTATTTGCTAACGTAAATGCTATTATCGTAAGAATTATATAAAAGTATTAATCATAGTATTTTTAATATAAGGAACAATATATTAACTCATAACAGTTACTCTCATTAATTTAAATGAATTTGCCTAGATCAGAGCTACATTGTTTAAAGTATAATAATAAAAAACACGTACTTAATAAATTCAATTAAACTTAACGTTTCGACCTTTTGTTTGTTTGTTTGTAATTAAGCACAAAGCTACACAATGGGCTATCTGTGCTCTGCTCACCACGGGTATCGAAACCCGGTTTCTACCGTTGTAAGTCCGCATACATACTGCTGTGCCACTGGGGGGGGGGGGAGTGCCTACATCAGAACTACTAGCATTTGATGTATGTCAAATATTTAGAACATCTCAACAGTACAATGTACAGGGCGCCCCAAAAAGGTATACAGAAATAAGAATAATATACACTCATGAACACTTAATTTCTTCCTATTTCAGTTATTGTATAAAATATCAAAATCCTGAAGTATTACTGTTTACACCTTATTTAAATATATAACAGTTTTATACAAACATAACTTATATATGTTCAAAATGATTTCCATTACTCTCAAAACATCCTTCCAGACGCTTCTGCTCAAGTATCCAATTCACACTTGGTCCATTATTTCTACCAAATTCTTTATTTGTAAAATAATATTACACTAGAAAAATTCTTTCTTCAACATTGTGGCATTTTAGGGCATAACTTCCAAAAAGAAAACATAAAATCACACTTGCATTAGCCAGTACAGTTCAATGCCTCCTGGTTACAACACGTACTTATGATGTCATAACTTATTTATGATATCATATAGAATATGGTTTGTTTGTTTGTTTTTTATTAAGCACAAAGCTACACAATGGGCTATCTGTGCTCTGCCCACCACGGGTATCGAAACCCGGATTTTAGCGTTGTAAGTCCGCAGACATACCGCTGTACCACTGGGGGGCATAGAATATGGGATATTATCTAGTGAAATTAATTAGGTATGTTTATTTTGTTTGGTGTACTTTGGGGGGGAGGAGTTGGTTACAATCTGAGGGTCGCGGGTTCGAATCCGTATCCCACCAAACATGCTCCCCCTTTCAGCCGTGGAGGCGTTATAATGTGACGGTCAATCCCAA